GTCAGGAATGAAAAAAAAAAGTCAGTCATGAGAATAGGAAATAGGCATTTGTCGACGGGAAAAGGGGCCCCCATTGGATTTTGATAGGGGCACTTATAAGATATTATTATATATTGTTAAAAGGGATGTTTTCAGAGGTGAAAAGAGGCACACCTGAAAGGGGGCAATGACCAGATATAAAAAGGGACACTTATGTGAATGAAAAAGCGGTACGTGTAATAGAGGAAAATGTGCATCAGTTAAAAGAAATGGGCACCGATCAGATTTTAAAGGGGCATTTATCGGAGGTGAAGGGGGCACTTATCTGAAGTGAAAAGGAGTAAATTCTCGTACCTGAAAAGGGTAATTTACCAGAGAAGGGGCACTTTTGCGAAGGGGAAGTGGCTCTTTTTTCTAATGGCGCACTTATCATTAGGAAAAGGGGCACTTTATATCAGAAAGAGAAAGGGCACATGTGCAAATATAAGGTGCGCTTATCCGAGTTAAAATGGGGGTAGTTATTAAAAGGGGAAGGGGCACTTCTCACACAGGAAAAGGGGCACTTGTCAAAGTAAAAGAGGCACGTACCTCTCAGATTAAATATGAAAATTATCAGAGGTGAAGGGGGGACTTATCAAAAGTGAAAAGAGGCACTTCTCGTACCTAACTTGGCGCACCTACTATAGATTAAAAAGGGCACTTATGAGAATGGAAAATGGACACTTATTGCAAAGGAAAATGGGAACTTGTCTAAGGAAAAGGGGCACGTGTCCAAATATAAGGGGCCCTTATCAGAGCTGAAAAGGGGAAGGCTTAGTCTTACAAACTAATAGGGGCACTTGTCAAAGTAAAAGGGGCACTATTCCTATGTAAAAAGGGGCATTTCTTAAAAAGTTAAAGGGGTAATTTTCCTATGTAAAAAGGGGCACTTTTCGGTGCTTGAAAAAGTGGGGGGCACTGTGCCCCCCCTTGCCCCCGCGGGAGGGCCGCCTTTACCCCCCCCCCTCCCAGCCCCACTTGGAGTGCCGCCTCTGGCATAATGGGCACAAATAAGAGAAAAAACCCGGAAATTCATTTCATTTTTGCAACATTTGTAAGTCATTGGTTTCGAATTAGAAATAAACCACGTTTGATTTTTTTTTTTTTTTTTTTTTTTGGGGGGGGGGGATCAACTGCCTAGTATAATGTTAAATAGTAAAATATATCAATATTCAGTTTGCCCCAAACATCATCAGTTCATAAACAACACGAACTATTTAGTATTATATCATTTCTATGAAAGTCTTTATTGATTGCTTGATCTACATGAATTCATTTATTCAAAAGCATTCCCTCGATTGCGCAATCGCCGCCCTTAAGAATCATCTGGATTCCAGGCCCTACCTAATTTGTGTTCTAAACATAAGAGTATGTTAGAGTGAAAATGTATCCATTCATTCGTTTATTTAAATCGTAATGTTATTATATTATGTATATTTCTTTTAGTAGCGTTAGAGCTTCGCAAATTGTGATGGCAGACATTTTGACAGACAAAGTTGTGCAGAGATTGTCAAAACTGATTAATCCTGGGAATATCCGTGCAGATGACTTTAGCGTGTACCTGGGATTCACCAAAGCCGAGGGCAATGCCGCAGCGATAGGGGCCAATCTCACCATGAATCAACATGGCGCATTCAGCATACTCATCACCAAGTATGTTATGAGACATGGACGGAAGAGTGAAAGTGCTCTGCAACTGAGAAAGATCTTTCTACAGAGTGAAATGCCGGACTGTAATGATGTAATCAAAGCAGGTTCGTAGATTAAAAATTTTAGTATGTTAATTTATAACGGAAACAACAACATAGTGATGATCAAAATGTACTGAGCTCAAAGATAAGGTCAACCATACATTTCATAATTGTCAACACCGGTAAAGATGTGACAGAACTCTTTAAAAAATAATGAATCAACATTCAGACTTCAATATGATATTATTTAACTTGCAATAAGGTATTCCCTCTTTTTTGTTGTTGAATGAATAATGCTTAATCGGAGGCTATGACGTAAAATCACTGTAAAGTATTATGTAAAAGGGGAACAGAGGCCAGACCAATTTGCAGAAATATTTTTCCAAACAAAACTCGAAAAAGAGTAGAGGGAGTCATTATCCTGTATATATTTTCTGACAAGAATAACAAAAAGTGCATGATTTGAATTGTGTGTAATTTAGAGGTAAATAAATTCTCAACATGGGAGAAAAATATCAAAACACTTGACTGGCAGACATATGTTTAAATACGGTTCTCTTGCAAATGAAACTATGAATAATTATTTGCCGATCAAATATTTGAAGTCGTTGCCAAAGTATGTACAGCTGTTTTTGTTGAAACGTTTGTTGAAACGTTGCAGAAAAGTAAAAAAACTGCAGTAGAATTAAACCGTTAAAGATATTTTTGCTTTTTGTCTCCAGGATTCGAGAGGTTGAACATTCCTTTCCGGTCAGACGAGGAAATACTCATGGAAATGAAAAAACCTGTATCCCTCCCGAACTCTCGTTGCGGCACACCAGGTTATCATATTCACAACTTTCTATTCCTCTCGCGCAAGCTTTATGAGACAACCAAATCTTTCGACTATCACAAAAAAGGCGATTTGTCGCCATCATCCTAACACTGCAGTAAAAAGGAGTACATAGGCTACGCACCATCGATTGCACAATGTGGTGGCTATATGGGGAATCAGGGAATGTAACAGCTAATTTATCTTATTGTGAATAGTTTAGCAAAACGAACTTCTAGAGGATTTATTTTTTATTTTTTAGTACAGATCATAATGGGAAGGCACCTTCAAGATATGTCACATAGTTGTCAATTCGGGTTTGATTGATCGCAACTTCAAAAGTACATAACTTTCCTATTTTCAATCGGAATTTGCTCAAACTTTCACTAACCTGTTCCTGTCATTTGCCTGCTTCTATTAAAACCAACTTAATGCCATGGTGGACTTCTCCTTCAGTTTACCGCTATTTCTATTTTGGGGGATTGTAGGTGAGGGAGCAGAGGCCGCTGGTGGGACTAAGACTGGTGCAAAGAGGAAGATAGCATGGAAGGATCCAGCTTACACGCCTGATGAGGATACTGGTGCAAAGAGGAAGATAGCATGTACGGATCCAGCTTACAAGCCTGATGAGGATACTGACGAGGAAATGGAAATATAAACGTCCATACTTTTGTAATTTTTCATTTCCTTTTTTTACAAAGTGTGTATAACTTCATTGGTAGGAAACTCTCTTTCACTTTCACTTCCCAAATCTAATGATTAAAAAAAAGAGGATAATATGATGTCGTGAAATCCAATCTTCTTCTTAATTCTTCTTCTTCTTGGTGTGTACATGTGGTAGGTACGTGTGTTTGTATGTGCGTGCTTGAGTGCGCGGAGTGGAGGGTTAATTGGGTATATTCTACAAATATTCGGATAAAGAAATGTTATTATACACACAAATGAACAACTAATGGAAATCAGTTTTATTCAGGATAATTTTTGCTAATTTTACCAAAAAGATCCAGAGACACTAAATTGTGTGAAGGTCAAACGATTATGGCAATTTATTAATGATCACTTCGATTTAGTTGAATTAAGGGACACGGAGTGGAAAGATGTAATTTTAGGATTGTCGGGTATCTCGAATAGAATTAATTAAGTGTGTGAATACTATTATAACTGTGTTGAAAAAAAATTCAAAATCAAGGGCAGAAGGTCATTTACCTTCCAGTGTTAAAATACAGAAAAATTATTACGGATTTTACAGAAGACGAAAAGTAACTAGCAATCAAGGTAGGCAGGTTTTCATTGCATTACAAAAAATGTGACTATGTATGTGAGCAGGCAACCAGTACCTTGCTGTGCATTTGGTGTTTGTATGTGTATGTTTGTGCGGGGGGGGGGGGGGGGTTGTTGGGGGGTGTTTGAGGGTGCTCTTGTCTGTGACTTTATGTTATTGTGGTGTGTACATGTGAGTGTGCATGTGTGAGGATGAGTGAGTTGCAGACGGTAGTGGTTTTGTTTGGGATTAGGTAGTAAGGGAGGGGGTTTTATTTTTTAATTTTTATATTATACTAGTAACTGATTTCATTCATTTTTTCGATCGTAACTTATGTATTGTACATTAACTATTTATAAATTTATGATAACAAATAATTGTATTTTGAAGAATTAATTGTATTGTTTTTATTTTAAATGAAATACATATAAAAATTAAAAAAGAATATAACCCCTGCTTCTTCGTTTGAGTTAATCTTGGGGAGGGGTATTTGATTAATGCCATTCGGGTCTAGATAAACACTACTGCCTAATACTTATTTTATGAAACAATATGACTATTTACCCCTAGCAGTCTTTAACTAATTGTAATGTAATTCCAATGGCCATTGATGGCCTCTTTATAATTTTCTTCACATACCTTTCAGTTTTAAAGCTTGTCGGCAGTTCGCAAAATTAGTTAACTTTTATTTTCTATTTTATCTTTTTTTTGGGGGGGGGTGGGGGTAGGGTAATCAAAAAAAGAGTTGAAACTCTGACGATCACTTTTACCTAATCCTTTTTAGGTTTTTAGCTAACCGACACAAATTAGGGCACCCTTTATATACCCGATGTCTCTTCTGTGACAAAGGTAAATGTAAGCTTCCCCAGCCCAGGCAGAACATGGATCGAAAGGCCTATCCTTCATTCATATTTAGAGCCCCTCTGCACTATTGTTTGGCCAGGGGGATTAGACCTCCCTGCAGGGTCACTGACAAGTAGTTATCTCATCAATTCAGTTCTCAATTAACACAAGAAAAGGGGGTTTATGGGGACCAACAGGCACCGATTAGGCATTGTTTGCTATATAGAGGGCGCAAGTAGCTATAAGTAGTGCAGTGGGGCTAAACATAATACATCGAGGGTAGTAGTACACGTCCTCCACTCACGTGAATTGAAAATACTCTCGATCAGTACCCTCTCGATCTCTGCATAAATTTGAAGTGCGCCATCTTTGTCCAATAAAAGCACAGCATTCCTAATTTTGTCGTTCGGCGACCGGAATGGTAAGACGCTTATTTGGTTGCTATGTCGGATGTTTGTGTCATTTAACGGAGAATTTAAGGTATGTTTGTGTCCTTGTCATAGATATCACTATTTTGCTGATACCAGGGTATAGATCAAGCCAGAAATAGAGGGTGATGATCCAGAATCGTGTAACGAATAAAGCTAGACTCACACAATGGTCCGATACGTTAATGTTTGCGTTTGTAAAATTGTAATTGTAGAACTAGATCTAGACTCTATTTAGATCTATGACCAAATTGTCTTCTTCCTTCGTTTCTTCTTTTAGAACTTTAGATATTGCTATAGACTAATGGAAATTAGTCAAATTTCACTATAATTGTTGCCAGTTTCGTCGTATCTGAATTTTTCTCTCTTTCTCTTAATTTCTTGGTAAAATTTTTTGTTTTCCAATCTCATTTTCTATTTTTAATAGACTCTAAATTAAATTTTATTTTTAAATTAGATCTAGATCTAGGGGAGAGTGCCCAGTATTCGGTCACTTAAAGGGAAATCGCTAATATTTTGAATTCTTACCTCTTTTATTTGGCAATCTACCCATCAAAAGAAAAGAAATTTAGATCTAGACTCTATTCCTCTAACAGGATTTTATAGTCACTTAGAATAGATCTAGTCTAAGGTCTAGTCTAAGTTAGATCTAGTCTATAGAATAATGATAAGCAAAATACTTCTAAAGAAGACGCTAGACGGAGCATTTTTCTGCCCAGAATTCGGTCGCGCCGAATAGAATTCGGTCACGCGATTTGTGCGTGGTACATGTACATGTATCTCCGTTGCCAAGAAGCGTAGCGTATTTGCGCACTATTTTCACACAATTGCGCGATAAAGCACTGAATGTCAATGCGTTGACCGAATACTGGCCGAGCGCACTCCAGCAAAGCATAGAGAGTCAATGCCAATGCGTATTGACCTCTAGCACTGCATGCTTGCTGTGAGGCGGGTATTTTTAGACCCATACACAAACACACACACCACACAATATTGCATAGACTGTACACAATCATGTCGATGCAGCTGTAAGCAAAGTTTGACACTAGACTTACAATTTGAATTTTTAAATTATTCTTTTTAACATCAGTAAGTTAAAAAAAAATGTATTGGCCGAGCGATACCGCATGGCAAGGGTATCGTATAAATACCTCTTGCACATCGGCAAGTCATTTGTCATTTGCAAATTCGCTGCGATGGAGTGAACAGGGAAGTGATTCTCTTCCCACACATACTAAATTCATTGCGACAGCACAAGTAGTTTTTTCGCAATAGAGTTATATGGCTATGCATGTTAGCGCATGTGCTAAGAGAACGCGGAAGTGCAGAAAGTTGTGCGACTCTGACCAATTTCGAGCCAAGTTGGAGATCTTTCCGGGGCCCTAAATCTGATTTAATTTTGAGAGTTAAGAAAAGTTGTTCAGCTGCCTGATTTGTGGAAGTTTCGTGGCTCATAAATTATTTTTTAAATTGTTACAGCTGTTGAAACGGCTGTCTGACCGAATACTGGGAATGGACCGAATACTGGGCGCGCTACCCTAGACTAGCCTTAAGGGCTCCCTCGAAATGTTTTTTATGATATTATTTGAGGGAGCCTTAAACGGCACCCATAGGGTCCCACAAAGAGGTAGGTAAACAACAACTGAAATGTGTCCAAAATCATACTTTCCCGCACCCGACCAATATTGGACAGTGGCTTTGATAAATTTTTTTGTAATTGTAGTCCTAATTACCTCCTGAATTTAAAAATCAGAGGTAAATATAATAAAATAAAAGCAATTTTCTTACCAGACCGATACAGCTCAGCTCCCTTTTCATGTGTACCGTGTGAATTCACGATCTCTACACAATGGTGATGACCTCTGACTGGCACTTCGTAAATGTGCTGCTTCCGTATAATGCGCTGAATAACACTCATACAGCGCATTATACGGAAGCAGCACAATCACGGAAGTGCCAGTCAGAGGTCACTTTTTGTATTCTGGGTTTTAACTGATATATATATATATATATATATATATATATATATGATATTATTAATAATTTGTATCATTATGCAATACAGTATTCAAATACATTGGCCTGGAGAATATTATTCCCATATTTGTATATCGGCTATGAACTGGGTAAAGAATGTAAATTGGAATTACCCAAGTTACTTTGCTCCAATGCACTCCAATGCCCTACTTTTTAACCCGTTATGACAAAAGACACAACTTTTTTTAGCATAAGTTTGTATTTTTCACAACTCAATATTCAAGTTTCTCTTGGAGCTCTTGGTGCATTTACAGGGGCTTTAATTTGTATTCATTAGAAATTACAATTTGTGCAATATACAACACATTGAGTTGAACTGGGTAAAGAATGTAAACAGTGACAATTATTCAGTTACTTTGCTCCAACGCATTATTTTTCACGTTGTGAAAAATTTGACAACGATTATTTTTGCACAATTTTGTATTTTTATATATCTTAATATTCATATTCTCTATTGGAAGTAAGAAATAAGAAATATTTGTGCAATAAACAGCACATTGAAATGAAGAATACAATGTATTTATCCCCTAATTAATATGAACTATACACTTTTTACCTTTTTGTCTATAAAAAAAATACCCACAGATTTGTATTTTTAATGTTTTAAGCAATACCATTCTCTAATGTATTCAGATTATATGCAAGTGTTTGTGTAGTGCCTGGAGATGAATGATCGCATTTGCCTGCCGAGGATTGCTGTGTTTTGGTGTTCGGGGTGCGGATTGCAGCGTGCATTAGTCTTTGCTGGGCTGGACGAGCATTATAGCTTGCCCAGTGTAGCGGCGGCTGATGTATGCGGTCCGCGCCCTGGCTATTTGAGTGCAGTGTCCCTCGGCGGGCGAGTGTGAAAGCTCTATGGTATTTCCATTCGACTGCATTTGAGTGCATTGCGGAAGTGACCTATTTGTATCTCATATTATTATGTGAATGTTCTTTGTAAATTTGTTTTGTAATTCATGTTGAATGTTCATTTCAGTTTTTAACTGCCAGACACGAAGATGTTAATAAAATCCATTTATCTATCTATCATCTTATTCACAGTAAACATGTAAAGCCAAAGGTCACAATTTTATGGCTCGCAAAGAGTCTAGCTTGCTGTGCCAACCTCACAGACAATTACAATGAATTAGACTTTGATTATTTTTTGCTTTGCCTCACTACTTATAGAGGCAAAAAATGGAACTGAATAAATACTTAGATTCAAACCCATTACTACAACGTTTTATTACACTGTTCTTACCGATTGAGCTAACAATGTTTATATGGTTATTTGCATGATAATGATAACCCTATCACTAACGGTTACCATCCTTAGCTAGACTCTTAGCGAGGTGTAAAAATTGTGACCTTTACTGTGAATTGACTTCCGCTCACATCAAAGTCACCTGTATATTGTATGGTGGGGTGTCCAAAGTTTGCAGACAAATTAAATTAAGGAATGCGATATTTGATCCAGTATTTCTCATATTCTACACAAATGTATTTATATCAATAAGTACCAAACTTTAAACTATTAGTAATGGGTGCGACTAGAAAAAAAATCAAAAGAATTCTGTCGATATCGACATGTCAAAATTTGATGTTAGATTGGTATGCGCTGCAACTGAAGAAAAGGTAACTAGCCGATTTTCAAGAGAATCAGGCAAAAATTTGCCTTTGTTTTTTCTGATGGTTGGAAAGAAAATAGATTTAAATTTCATATATATGCTATAAAGAAAAACAAAAAAAATTGTTGTCAAACATCAAATATATTGGTGAATTTTAAAATGTAAAATGATATATGAATGTGAATTTATATCAGTACTTTTCTTTATCACCCCCTCTAGATGATGTCTTACACCAAAGTTCTCAAACTTACCTACACTACATGGAGACTAAGAAGAGGCTTTGACACTGCCGTTAATGATATTTAATCTCTGAGCATCTTAGTTACCATGGGGCACGGGGCTAGTACCACCGGTGTGAAGAAGGTTGCCCTTATCAAGGAGCAGGGGGAGCAGGATCCTAATGAATCCAGACCTGTGTAAGTGATAAGCTTTGTTTGTTCTTCCATACTCAAACTTTGCAAAAAGTTGCGCTGAAAATAAAGGCAACCAAGGAGGAGGTGAGTTGGCTCAGTCGGTAAAGCGTCTGCCTGTCGAACCAAAGATCCCGGGTTTGAATCCCACCTGCGTTGTGTGTTAACAATGCTCCTCCCCTTGTTCATAGAAGCAGGCTATGTTAAGTGAAAAACACTCCGGATAGGACGTTAAATGGAGGCCCTGTGTAGAGAAGAGTCACTACCTTTGCACGTTAAAAACCCACTGCACTTTTCGTATAAGAATAGGGAGAAACCCTGGTGTAGTGGTCCACCTGCACACACCCCAGGAAGGAAAGATAATATTCTGTAAAGAGGTACTGTATGTACTCAAAATGGAAGAAGAAGAACCACACCTACAGAAAAGATTATTCCATATCATTTGGAAAATGTTTATTTAAAAAGATTTGCCTTTTTTAATTTTTTTTTTAATTGTTTTTTATTTTCATCCTTACAATTTTTGTTTCACCTTTCGTTTATGTATCTTGTATGGTAGGTGTGAACATGTAGTTTTAACTTAGCAAAATTGTGTCCTCTTTTTCTTCTGAAATATCAGACTGTACCATAGGCAAATTGAAGGAGTATGGTTTTGGTTGCAACAGCATCTCAAGTAATCCTTTGAATACTGACATTATATTTTACATATTACAAACTCCAAAGATATGTGGGTTAAAAAAGAATAATGTTGTATCAAATTGAAAAACAGAATTTTTTTTTTTTCTTTCTCAGATGGACAAGATCAAACTCAGATGGCTGCATTGTGGAGAATCTCAACTCCAGTAAAACCAAGGTATATTCTACACATTGATTTCTGATGGTCGTGGTAGGATAAAATCTTTCTTGTTAGTTTAAACTATGAATTTTGTAGAGATTGGTGGAAATGAAGAAAAGCTTGCCTTACATGTACTGTATGTAGGTAATTGTACATTTCACCTGCTGGAGAAAGTCAGTGTTCTTTTAAGAGTGTTTGTACCAAAGAAATCTACTAATTCTTTCAGTACCATATGTTTCAGCTTCACTCAAGCTTAAATCTAAAAGCAGAGTTTTGTTTAGTCTTATAGGGCTCATTCAGATATGACCCTGCAAATCCGCAGCGTTTTTTTTTGGTTGTGATGACCTACAATTTAATACGCTTCACAATTCTGTATCTTATATAACACAGAGCCCATTGAAAACGCAGAAGTTCATTGTTGAGTGCAGTTGCCATTCATTTACATGTTAAAAAAACGTGACAGCTTTTTTGTGATATCTGAACAAGTCTGTAGAAATACTTATCTTTTCCTCTTGAATTGTTGTTTGTTATTTCATGAAGCCTGAGGTGCAGAAAACACAGTTGCGCTAGGATTGCGCCTGTTCTTTTTAACCGCACATAGCTTAGATCTTCCACAGCACTGTACATATATATATCTGCATGACCTCAAAGTACGAAGATACACCAACAGCATGGTGGCCTGTATTTCAACAGAAGAAGTAGAAGAAGCAGTCCTTGTTGTATTCAATTTCAAACAAATGAACAGGAAATAAACTGAACCATGCTTCAGAATCATGCCTAATGATTTATTCTTTTGTGACATCTACTTCTAAATTGATGGCATAGATAGCAGTGGTTTGTAAAATCTACATACAACTCCTGTTCTGCATTGCATAACCATTTACGTGTGCCTCCATTTCAGTTGTGTGATTTCTGTTTGTATTACATTACAGGTGGATCTACTGGGTCAGCAGGTCTCAGAATATAAAGAATTATTGAACGCATCAGAGATCAAAATAGAGGAAGCAGTGGACAAAGCCAATATTCTAGAAAAACAGGTCGGTTTTAATCTTCATACGACTGTACTATTTGTCATTTTAACTCTTGGTTCCATGTTGTACTAACTCAGTTAAATCTGACCTTTGGTCTAAAATCATGATTAGCAAAATGGAACCTTTGACGTTGGACAAACTTCCTCTGTTAAACCTGATTTTGAACAAAATCCTAAACCAGGTGCTGGGTTTAAATTTGATTTGATTTGATTTGATTTATTGGTTTGTAGTAAATTGTAGTAGATGTTCCTGTAGACTAACATGCTTTGTGCTACTATGAACCATTAGCCTCAGCCTTAGGAGGAGCAAACATTTCATCCTACACTGAATCCATATTAACACTTTTGTGGGCCTTGGTTAATGATAAGGGGTGTGGGTATTGTTGTTTTAAGGCGGTAAAAAAATCAAAGGTTCATGTAGAATGGATGCATCTGTTTTCCTTCATTTTAAATGAAGAAGTTATTGCAAGGTAGATGATCATCACACTGCTATGAAAACCTCATAAATTATGGAAATTTCCAACAAAACATGTCTGCTTTGCTACAATGTTTCATTCTGTGAAAATAGCACCCATTACAAAATTCTTTTAAATTCGTGGGTTTATGGTTCATAGAGGGCCAATAACTTTAAATAATTATTATCAATGATTTTAATGTTAATCATTCCCTCTGTAGCTTGCGGAAGTGGAGGGAGTCAACTTTGAGTTGACCGACACCGTGAGTGACCTTCAGCAGCAGGTAGAGTCCCTTCAAGCCAACTCAGGGCCAGAGGTCAACAGACAGCTAGAGGAGGAGTTGACCACTAGCGACCAGGTATGTGATGGACAATAACAAGATAAATGATTTCATTAAAGGGATCCGGTAATTTTGTCTCAGATTCTGAAACAAAATCCTGGATTTAGCTCATGCTGCAATGATAATTATAAACCTTTTGGTCAGTCAGGAACCCCATGATTTTTACAAGCCGATCGCCTGTCTGATTATCAAGATATTTATGATTGGAAATCGAAACCAAATTTTGTGTGTGGCAAACGGTTTTCATAACACTACAGTCTATTGGGGAAAAGGAGTATGGTAAAACCGGTCACTCAAAGACTTTTACTTTTTTGAGGCACTTCCTGATCATTTTGAAGCGCGATTTCTTTAGGGCTTTAATATTACACCATATCACAGACACGGATATCATGTAAGGCTGTGCATCTCAGATTTAACACTGTTAAAAGATGCCTTAACAGATATATGTGCAAGTAGGAAAGGGAAAAATTTACCCCATGTCTTTTTGGTGTCATCAGGTTTTAAGAACTTGTCATCATAGATACATGTACAATTTATTGAGACTTTTTTCCTTTTCCCCTTTTGTTTAATCTTGATGCATGCAGTGTCCTCAGATAATATAGTTTACATTTCGTGAACCAGCTTTAAATTTCAAGAAGAAAGACAAATGTCCTTTTCCTAAATGTTTTGACACACTGTTTTTAATGTGGGTGAGACCTCGGCACTCTGTTTCATGATCAGAAATTTGCTCAGACCCTTTTTCATCAAAGAGAGATGTTAAAGCCTGGGTTATGATTATGCCTTATGTCAGCTTTGGGGTTTGGTGTTATTTTGTATATTTGACTAGTGTTAGAAACTAGACTCAGAGCACATATACCTGGAGCACATATATTAACCTAGATGTTCATATCCGGTTTTTTTACCATTCCAATTTAGCAAGTTGAGAAGTTGGAGATGCATATCAAGTTATTAGAGGAGCAGATGGCTAGCATGGTAAGTGACCTTTTAACTTCTACAAGAATTTTAGGAAAGGTTTTTCAGAGGAATAACCACATCCTTTAATTTTCATATACAACATGAAAGTGTGGCAAAATATACTAGATGACCTCCACCGTAAATTCACTTGGGTGAGATTACAGAAACATTGGTGAATTGTAAAATGGACACATCATGTTTTTTTTTCTTCAGTTCAACCCAAACATATTTTGCTTCAACAACAGTGCTTCTTGATTTGAAGCAGGTCAAGAAGTAATGCAAAGGATGGTTTAGGGGGATTAAGATAAACATTTTATTCAAATAACTTTGTGCCGTCACAAAAAATAAAATGATTTTTAAATGTGATATTGACTTACATTGACTTTCTTTGAAGCGTTGATCTCTTAGGACAAATATTTTGCAGTTATTTTGCATGTGAAATTTGTATATCATTTATCTAGAAAAAGATTGCCTTTCACTATGATTATTTTTCACATTTCACTGTTATTTACATCCCCAGCGTTCCAAGTTTCGTAAAAAGTTGAGGGCAGCAAACACTCAGGTGACAGAAGCTAAACAAGAGAGCTCTCTCAAACTGTACAGCCTCAAAGACCAGATTAAACAGATGGAAGAAGAGAACCTTAAACTTACAGGTCAGACAATGGCATCTTTGAACCATTCTGATTCATATTTCTTTGTTGTGTATGTATGTATGTTTGTATGTATATATCTATCTATCTATCTATCTATCTATCTATCTATCTATCTATCTATATATCTATCTCTTTATAAATGTTAATTGTTATTGCCATTCATAATTGTAACCGCTGCCTTGAGGTTCAGGTTCTCTTTTGAATCTAAGGCTAAAGGAGCAAACCCTAACAGAAAACCATGCCACCGTGGCTGCATTGAGGTCGATTGACGATAAAGAACTCCCGACATCCTTCGACTAGTCACTGCAGGGTCTAGTGGTTCACACCCGTCCTGGCTTGTCCTTGCCGGTGTGTGAAATTGCCACCAGTTCCCAGAGAGAGTGCCGTTAGTGACTTGCAAGAGCTACCGGTACTTACCCACCTTTGCAAGCAGCCTTCATGAAAGTGAAGGCGGTCATTGTTGCTTTGCAACAGACAGCTACTACTACTACTATCTATCTATCCATCTTTCTGTCTATCTATCTATCTTTCCGTCTATCGATCTATATATGTATCTTTGTCCCATAGCTTGGTGGCCGTTTGGGCAACAATGAAGTGGACCTTGAGACACAGGTTCTACCTATCTTTCAGTCTTCAGCTGTTCTAGTTAACTGCTCAAAGTCAGCTTCATATCATTCCATGTCCTAGTTGGTCTGCCCCTCTTTCTTCTCCCATCACTTCCTCCCTTCCAAGCTATGCTTCCATCTAGTTACATGCCTAAACCACTGTAATCACAATTGTGACGAGGAGATCATGTTCCCCTATACCATGTGAGTCAAAAAAAAGTTTACACCTAGAAACTTGCTAATTATTTTAAAAATCATCTATGAACAGTAAATTATTATACATTTTATGAAAGAAGGTTTTATCCCAAATCATTTGGTATCATTTTTGTTTGGTATGTGTTCACGCTTGGATGAACATGAGGCGTTGTTTGCGAGAGTGCAAAAATCGACTTGCGCCAAAGTGATGCCTAAAGCATGTATTATGTTGGGATTAGCAGAGTGACAGAATGAATCGAATGTATGCTTTATGCAGAAGCAAAGTTATAAAAAACAAAACACACGCCCACAAATGTTCGTTGATAATTGATATTCAATATTTGATATGTGGCATGATCAATTTTGTTAGGGATGTTATTTGGATTTGCAAAGACCGAAGTGATACCCAAATCCCAATTTTTTTATTCAAACATCACACAAGCAAATTTGGAGCAAATCAAATTTTGCACTCTCGCAAACAATGGTTCCTATTCATCCAAGCTTGAACACATACCACTCAAAAATGATACCAAATGATTTGGGATAAAACACTCTTTCATAAGATGTATAATAATTTACTATTCATAGATGATTTTTAAAATAATTAGCAATTTTTTAGGTGTAAACTTTTTTGGACTCACACTGTATACCGGTACATGTAAACTCTCCATTATCTCTCTCACTTTCTTTTGGATGTTTGCAAAGTATGGTGGAAATGCATTTCAAAATTAATCAATGAAAGAATTTATTGATTAAATGCTTCTGATGTGAGTTATAATGTGAGTTAGAATTATCATACATTTGATGATAGATGTACATCAGTATATGAATATCTATTTATTTCATAATAACTTATGAATGTAAATGTAGAACTAATTTTTGTTCTTAATACGCTTTATCTATTCTACTATTGTATTTTAGATTGTATTAATCTGAGAATATTGTGTTTCTATGTCTTCCTTCATACTTGTTTCAAACAGAACGTCTTGATCGAGCCAACAGTAGATCTAGCGGGATGGAGCCATCATCAAACCAGATGGGTGGTGAGGGTTCCAGGATGATGGTCATTCTTGAGCTGTCTAACCAGGTCTCTGCCCAGGAGGATCAGATCATCCAACTACAAGAGCAGCTGCAGGGGAAGGACAGGACCATCAAGGAACTCACCAATCAGCTTGAGCAGGAGAGGCCGACCAGTCGAGCTCCGAGTGAAATGGGTAGCAGGCCACCCAGCGGGGCTACCAACAGGCCCTTGAGCGGGAGGAGTCATCAGCGTTCCGCAAGGGATGGGCGGATAGAGTCTAGCCATCAGAGGGAAGGTAGTGGAAGAAGTGTGAGGTCACTGTCAGGAGAGTCCTCTGAAAGAGTACAAGATGATGAACGAGACACCATTGGGGATCATCAAGAAGTTATAGGGAAACAAGTCTCTGATAGTACTGTAGGAGGATATGATCATGATGAGATTCCTAGGGATACAGAAAGGATTTCATCAGGTAAATCTAGCAAAAGAAGACAAAGCTCATCTCGAGAGAGAAGAAAAAGTGGCAATCAAAATGAAAGGACAAGTGTTGATGATAGGAGATCTTCAGAAAGATCTAGTAGCGCAGAAACTAAGGAAGGTAGTAGTCATAGGAGGAAAAGAAGTACTTCTAGGAGTAAAAAGAAAGATGCTTCTGCTGTTGAACTGTCTAAAAATGGCTCTGAACTCCAAGGGAATTTGAATAGCGAAAAGGAAGATCTGAACAATACTGAAACCCTGACAAGGGATCAGATCAGAATAAGCTCAGCGGGAAACCATGATTCAGCGTTCCATAAAAACTCAGAGGAAGGGACAAAGAGCGCCCCCACTAGTGCTGGAACCAGTCGACACCGCCGGAGATTGAAGGTGGCACAGCAGCGGGCCTCTTCACTTGAAACTGTGGACCACAGCGGCTTGACTTCTTCTCCCAAGCCACCATTCAGACCCGACGCAAACCTTTATGAGCTGGACTCTGGGGTTGGTCATGATTTGGGGGTTGGTCGTGATTTGGGGGTTGGTCGTGACTCAGGGGTTGGTCGTGATTCGGGGGTTGGTCGTGATTCGGGGATTAGTCGTGACTCGGGGGTTGGTCGTGATACAAGTCCTGTGTCTGGTAGATCTACAAAGGCATCTGATCTGGAGTTGGATGATCTGTTGCAAGAACTCATGAGCGATGAAAGTCCTGTGGACTCGGAATGGAAGAAGAATGCAAAGTCCAATAATGGGTTTGGGATTTCAGAAGAGAAAATACGGAACCTTTTATCTGATAGGACGACCTAATGAAATCTACATTATTATTGGTTAATAGAATGTGCTGTTCAACATTTGTTTAAGAGTCTGTTCATGTATCTAATTGCATCTATTCTGAAATGTTGGAAAACGCAAGCCACAGGCAGAATGGTTGTCAGTAAGCATATTTACATACAAATATGTCTTCTCTTGTGTTAGTCTTTGTTTCTTACTGCACTTAAGTAAGTGCAATCAGAATCAATTTTAGCAGTAGTGTGTCTTAAATGACATCCTCTTTCACATTGTAATACAATTTAAGTGAAAGTTTGCCATCAAATTTTTGGCAAATTTGGGGCTCCCAACAATTTAGAGGGCCTTAATTTTATTTTATTGTCAAATGTGATAAGATAATTTGCATTAAAGGTATAGACCAGTTCTGGTCATGCGATTGCATTGTGAAAGAAACATTGTGGAATCGATCAGAAAAAGTTGATCATCTAGCATATAAGTATAGGTGTGTACTGCAAGGTTCTGGAATCATCAAAATGATAAGAAATTTGGCCCAGTCTTGGTAAAGTTACAAGCACTGTACACAGAAAGATGTGACTACCCTATATCTATCCAGTCCAGATAGATATAATAATTTACCAAATATATCAATTAGTAGGCGGTTTTCCTGCAAAATTTGTGTCATCATGTAATAGTCAACATATTCTTTCACATGATTGGTAATAAGAGCTTCCATTTCATTTTTTGAGAGGGGGGCGTTTCCAAAACTGGTCTTAACCTTTAAGAGGCAGAAAAAAAAAGAGAAACAGAATGTTAAAAGTTTGAAATAGAATGGACCAAAAATTATGAATGTTGGAAATATGAGATTTACTAAAGTCTGTCCAAATCTCAAATTTGGCAGTTTGGTCAGGGGATTATGACATAGTCGCGGATAACTCTCCAGTTTGTTGTGTACAAAAAACAAACTCCCAAATTTCTGTTTTTCTCCTACATGCCTTCTTCCTTGGGGCAATACTCAAAATATATTATGTATAGCATAATACATCCTCTAGAGAAAAGACCCTCCTGAGTCTTAAATTTTGGGGAAAATTGCAATTTTTGTAATTTTTTTGTGTTGGAACAAATGAGAAAGTTGTTCGTCACTACATCACAAAGGCTACGGATTCAGCCAATTTCAAAAGCCTATACCTATAGTAACTAAAAAATTTCAAAAGTTCATAACTCTTTCATTTTTTGTCAGATTTCTTTCAAACTTTCACCAGTCTACTTTTCTGCTTTTTCTGCTTTTTCTGCTTTCCTCTAGAGTGTATTGCCATCAAAGATGATTTCCCTGCAATATTATGGTGATGTGCACAATCATTTTCTCTAAGAAAAGAAACAACCTCATCATGATAACATTGTATGAGTTGAGAAGTAACATCATTTCAAGAAATCAATTAAACTTGAGATACAAGGGGAAAAAACTGCAGTTCAAATATCAGAGTTTCTGATATTTCTATATAGTTAGGCAGTTTTGGAATAATTATATTGCATTTTACTGGAGTTAGTCATTATCTGCCTTGACACATCAGTGTTTCACAATTTGGTTACATATAGTTAGGCAAATGATTTAGCCATATCAAATTCAATCTGAGTGTCTTTTATTAGGCAAAACTCTGACCTTGTAATCCTGAATATTTTTTTTTTGTATACAAGTGATATTTATTACTCTGTTAAAATTCAGTTTTTTTAAAGTTTTCATTTCTTTATGAACTTGTAAACAGATGCAGCTACCCAGTACAGCAATTTGTTGTAGGGGTAATATTTGAAGCTCATATTTGTGTACCGTATGGTGACAGGGAACCCCTTATGTCATGATCAGTCATGTTTTGGTGATTGGTGCAAATCAATTAAAAGATAAATAAATCTGGAAAGTGGAAACCTTTTATAGGAAAACTTATTAAGCCATGAAAGAGTAATTTCAGTCAAGTTTGCTTGCCTCTAAAGTGTACCAATGACTGTGCCCTGTATGTTTTGAGCCCAATTTAAATATACTCTATTCCAAACATGAGCTTCAAATAATTGTTCTGTTAAAGGTAATACAAAGTTTTGGGAAATTTTGAAAATTGGGTGATTAGTGATTCTTTACAATTTTGATATATTTGGATGCCCCTGTGGATGTATTAGAAGCACTACAAAATTTAGCCCCTAAAACACTTCTGCTTTCTTGAAAAATTGAATATAAAAATTTACCTGTGCTCCCGGTAAATTTCAATAAATTTCAAAAAGCGCCTACGGCTGTACAATAGTATCTGCGATCATGAAAATCTCAGAATATGTAGTTGTGATCTATAATTTCCAAATGGGAATAGCTAATCGGTCGATTTTAGTCAAGAAACACTGTTTTATAGCTTAATTAATATCAAGACCTTGAGAGGGAGCTATACAACATAAAGAGTGTATTATTTACAATGTCATTACTTTAGACTCGATTTCAATCGCGATTACGATCACTGAATATTGTAGGATCGTATATGCTTCCAATATGTTCATTTGA